TTGGGCACGTCAGCTGGGGACCACGGGGAGGCACAGTGCTGGTCTCCATCTACTTAGTCGACTCGGTGGGCCTCAATCAAGAGAACATGGATCTGCTTACCACGCTGGCTCAATACCTGGAGGCGCTCAATGGTTTGGGACAGCCATGGATTGTGGCAGGTGACTGGAACATGGATCCAGCGAGCACACTGGACTGGATGCACTCGGTACACGGAGTTCAGCAGGTCCCAGCCCAACCCACATGCAACGCCACGCAACCTGGCACTATTAGGGACTATTTCTGCGTCTCTGCTGCCTTGGTCGATTGGATTCGCGGATGCGAAGTCGGAGTGGCAGCGACTTTCCCGCATCAGCCTGTGCATTTGGGGTTCCAGTACTGCGCACATGAGCAGTGGGCACGCGTCCCTGTCACACCTAGACCTCTCCCGACGGTGCCGAAGGTGGGTTGTGCCAGGTTTCCACCTGCACGGCAATGGGCACGCGTGAAGCAGCTCATTGATCAAGCTTCTGACGGTGTGACCTTGGCTGCTGCGTGGGATGGGGTTATTGCCACGATGGAACATGAGATCCTCAACCGCAACGACATAATGGACATGACGCAGCGGGGACTTCATCACGGACGTGCTGGACCAGACCAATGGGTATGGAAACGTGTACAGGCCATCGTACCACCGAGGCCTAAGCGGTTGAGCGCCTACCAGCAGTATGGCAAATGGTGCCGGCATCTGCGGTCCACACACACGCGAATGCTCACGGCCCTCCAGCGCACAATGGAGGAAGCAGATGCGAACCGTTTTCCCGCAAGACTATTACCTGACATTTTCGGCCAGCACGGGCAGTACGTCAACGGCCTGGGTAGTCCTGACCAAGGTCTGGCTAAGGAGCAGCGGTTGTTCGCGCAACTCAGTCGGGACCTTCAGGGTTTCTTCGCGCGGGTTGCACGTGCTGACTGGGTTGGGCCGCTGCTTGATTATGAAGACCGTACCCAGCTCCACGGTCTGCACGACACGTTTTATGAGCCTGACTTCCTTGACAGGATCGACCGAGCCCTGGACAAGGTGAATCGCGTTACGGAGGCCATACGCAAGTTTGCTGGCATTGAATGGGCGCAGTGGGCCAAGCAGGCGTTTCAGAATGGGGCTGGCAAAGCGCACAGGTACACTAGAGTGCGCGAGCTACAAGAGACGTTACAGTACGCCGAGAAGGACCGTGGCCAACCGCATCACATGGCGGACGAATGCTTGGAGTTCTGGAAGGGTGTCTGGACCATTCATGATGATACAGCGGTCGCCACACCGACAGGTCAAGCAGATTGGGAGGAGTTACCTGAGATCACAATCGATGACATTCGCAACACCCTCAGACGTTTCAAAGCCACCACGGCACTTGGGCAGGTATCGATTCAACCCCGTGCATTGACCCAAGTATCGGACATGGGATTGGGTGTCCTTGCATCTCTTTTTCACAAATGCGAGAGGTTGGCGTGCTGGCCGACGCAGAGGGTCACCACGGTGCTAGTGAGGCTTCCCAAGCCCACGGGGGGCCACCGCCTCATCGCGCTCATCAATACTGTGGTCCGTGTGTGGAGCCGAATACGACGAAGGATATCTAAGCGATGGGAGCTCGCCAACCCTTCTACCGCCTTTTGGGGCACGAGGCCTGGTGCGACGTCTACCGATGCCGCGTTTCAGCACAACATAGCAGCAGAGACGGCGAAGCTCAACGGCATGCACACGGTCAGTGCACTTATTGACATGTACAAATGTTTCGAGACGATACGATATACCGCGCTGCTGGACAGAGCTAGTAAGATGCAATTTCCGATGAGATTACTTTGGATGCTTATTCACACATATCAGGCACCACGGCAGGTGCGAGCTTACGGGTCACTGTCCACCAAGTTCACCTCCGCGCAGGGCATACTGGCGGGATGCTCTCACGCCTGTGCCATGGTCCACCTGCTGCTCTGCCAGTCCTTGGAGGCCCTGCGCAGGAAGTATGCCGATGTGGTGCCACGGGCGTTGATGGATGACGTCAGCTTTCAATGGATTGGTGCAGAACCCTCTCAGGCGGTCGTCCTATTTCATGCAGTACGATGGTTTATTCGCCAGGTGCAGCCACTGGGTCTCATCATACAGGTAGACAAAAGTGGTTGCGTG